CTGTTTTTGGTACATACAGATATCAATAAATTTCAATTATTGGACATCAAGGGGAAAAATTAAATGTGAGAAAAATGTAGGATAGTGGCCCTTTGAGGGTCATTTTCTTTTGATTTCAATAAATCATATTTTTATTCATACAAAAAGAACCAATTCATATTATTTTGAATACTTGCTTCTTCTTTCCTTGGCTGCGGTAGTAAAGTTACCTATTTTCTGTGGCAATTCATTTTGTTATGCTCAGATTTTTCTTTTCAGGTTTTTCACTATGATTGTGCTGATCTTCATTGGCAAGTAAAGATGCATGCCACACCACTATTGTATGGCAGAATTAGCTGGAAGGGTTTCACGGACAATTCATTTCTAATGTTCTTAACAATCTGAGGCCCAGAATTTCCTGGAATTCCAACACAGCACACACACACACACACACACACACACACACACACAAACACACACACACACACAAAGCAGTAACTTCTCAGAGGCCTGCCCTTACTGAAACTGTAAGCTATAGAAATCTCTCCCTTAACTCTCATTGTTCTCTCACAACTCGATGTCATACAACACTGTGTGCAATGCAATTATGGCAGCATACAGTGACACTGTAGGAAGTCCCATGGGTGACTGTCCTTCGGGTCTCTGCAGGAACTGAAAAGGTGATGACATTTATAATAAGATGAACTGAATACCACTATGAAATTCACCTTGATAAAGCAATGGCCTGATCAATAATGCATTCCAGTCACAGAAAGTAATTAATGGCATTTCAAAATAATATGCTAATTTTGCTGGTGCTATTGTCTAAGCCTTGGCACTTTCATCTGAGATTGTGAGCTTGATCCCCAGAGACACCTCAGCCAACCGTGGCTGGGAGTCCATATGAGCATGTTAACCCTTTGGTGGTCAGGATCATCTTCCTTCTCCCACCATCACTCAGCATGATGCTAGCCAACATGGGCATCTGTTAGCTAAAGTAACAGAATTATCAGTTAGCATTCTTCTCTAAGCATGTTGAGTGAGTGATCCACTGATGCTGCGTTAGTGGCAGTTCGGAAGATATGGTGATACTTTACATGTCTCTGAGGAAGCACGCATTACCCTTACTCTCCCATCTTGGTAGCATCATGTGATAGGATGAGACCTAACTAGCAGGTGGAACTGGCAATGACTAAACATTTAATAACAAAATTTTAAGGATTCACCAATGACAGCTGAAACAAAGACAACGTATATCACCAGTCTACTGGTACAAAGGCTTTGAATTCATTTCTTGGTCTCTGGATTTAGTGCTGTCCTGCAGTCTAAATATAAAATAGCAGTTAGTTTGAGAACGGTCCTCGGAGACAGATGTGTGAGGACAGCTCTCAGACAGTTTTAGCCATGTTCTCTACTTCATATGTATTCTCAGTCCCGAGAGACTTCCACATTAATAATGAAACCTGCAGACCCGAGCTGACTTTCCCTATTGCGCTCTCTCTCTCTCTCTCTCTCTATTTATCTCTCTCTCTTTCACTGTCTATCTGTCTCTCTCTCCCCCCTGCCCCCTTTCTCTCCGCAGTCTCCCTTTTGTGAAGCGAGGTTTTGAGGTAGGAGCAGGCGATATGGCAAAAATATGTTATACTTTGGACTTTTTCCTAATACATTATAAGTATCACAATGTTCCATTTTGGGGGGGGGGGGTTTAAGGTGGGACTGATAAGGCATTACTAGTGTCACAATGTTACTCCTTTGGCAAAAATAAAAACATTTAATAGGACAAATTATGCTCTCTTTGTAATGAGGCATGAAGTTGGTCGGTCCTTTAAATCAGAAAACATATTGTGAAATCATTTTTGCCCACCTCTTTTTTGAGGGGCAATCAACATGTATCTAGTTGGCATTGGTGTAATCAGAAAACCAGTCCAACAATCTAAGATTTTATTCTCACCGTGCATGAACATGTGTTTCATGTGTGGATTGTATCTGGATATACTTTGGCTGGATTCCATTTATACTTTTCACTAAAATGCGTCCCCACTGTGACCAGATGAGATCCGATTTTACTTTCCTGCATAAAATAAGCACACCAAAGCAAATGTTCTTTCCATTTTACTTCTGTTTTAATCAGCCCAGAGTGCATGCATGTACTCAGTCTTATAGGGATGCAGCAAAGGAAGGCTGCATTTCTTGGCCCTTTCGTCACTGAAGTCTTTCCCGTTTTGTACCGTCCTCCAAATGCTGAGAAACTGAAGGATGCAGCTAGACTGGTGTGTTTTTCAAGACCTGCAATCTCCCGCAATCCTTAATGCTGAGCACAAAACTGTTTGGAAAATGGCCATGAGTGGCGAGTGTGGAGTTTGTAATGACATGTAATGAAGTGTAAATTCCCTGCTGGAAAAAATCATAGAAACCATGAAAAGTGTCTGTTTGCTTTTAAGTTAACATTTTCAAATGTGAGATTAAAACGTATTACATTGCTTGCGTCCGTAAGCCCTGACGTGTTGGTACAGCCTGCTTGGGCCATCTCAGCTCTCTCTCGCTCTCTCTTTCTGTCTCTCTCTCTGGCTAAATACATATACACACACACACATATATATATATATATATGTGTGTGTGTGTGTGTGTATATAAATATATATATCCACACTAGGGAAGTCCCTTGTTGTTAATGAGCTCTCTGTATTTCCGCTCACGAAATCATATGCAGATATAGTAAACACATGCCATTCATGCTTGTGTTCAATGTCGTCAAGATTCGTCTCTGACCACCTCCGGATGTGGTCTGAGTGATCAGATCATAATCCAATCACAATGCATCGTGATTCCTCCTGGTTTTTCATGCAGTCAAGTGAAATCCAGCTGTGATCCACTCAGAAATGCACGTTGATGCAAGGTGTAAACAGCCTCTAAGACATAACTGCACCAGTTTAAAAGCTTACATCTGGTTTGAAACCAAAAGTACAGTGGCTAAAATTGGATATAGCCGTTGCAAATTGATGCACCCATCTCTGTGTTTTTCAATGCATGACTACACATGGAGCAAATATGAGTGTAAACCAACAGCAGCAGTTTATCACTTTATGTTTCAAAGCAACACAGTTCTGTGGCTGTCTGCTTACAACCTATACACTAACCAAGGCTAAAAATACACCCTTGCACATTTTTGCTGTGGTAACATGCTGCTGTTAATATGCTCTCTTTAACCGGTCTGTGTTCTGTATTCTCTGTAACTGGAGAGGGTTAACAGGCTCAGCAGATACTTCACCTCACTTTTAAGTTTTCTTGTAGTTACACTGCAGTAATGAAACTGTAGACATTTAGAAAAAAATTACTAGTTTTCCCAGTTCATGCAAATTACTACAGACTTGCTAAACATGCAGTTATGGTAAAGTACCACATATCTATATAAGACTGGCTCTAACAAAAGCTTAATAATTGGAACATACAGTTTGAACCTGACCTCAGATCATTACAGCAGAGTTTGAGACCACAGGTTTTCATAGAAGATATAAAAGAGTGGGCAGACCTTTTAAAATGCAGCCAAAAGGGCATGTTTAGGTTCAGTTTTTGGCTGAAAGCTCCAGCTGTTCTGTCACCATCACCACTAATGAAGGGTCACCAAGGGGCATTAAAAGTAAAGATGGGCTGCAAGGACAAATAAGGCTCTCCTAGTTGATGATTCCAGTGTGTTTAAACTAAATGTATCTTTTTCACTGTAATGGTAACGTAATGCTGTCATTCATGTCAGACGTGTATATTTTTCTGACTGTGCCTGTATTTGGTCATTTTCTAAGGTGTAACATGAGGCTGAGGCCTACATGAGAACAAAACCTTAAACCCCTAAAATATAATGGACACTTTATTAGACACTCAGCCTGCAAGTTAGGCATACCTCACTGATTTGATGCACAATTTATGCTATTCATTATATTCATCAGAACCACTTCAGGATGGATGGACCTCGTTGCGCTGTTGTGTCTAGAATGTGTCTAAGAAGTTGCGATAATAGATACCCTACAGTCTGTACTGGCCTACACATATAGTGGCAAACAGGAAGTAGGTGGACCTCATCAAGTTCACCAACCCATTTGTGTCATAAATAGACCTTGAAAATCCAGATGATACATTTTATGCAAATGGTGGTAGTGAAACAGGCCTGTGCATTTAAAACATTATGCTCAAGTCAGGTAGAGCGACCTAAAAAGTATTTTTAGTGCATAATTGATCTTGAGTAAAATGGTAAAGCTGTAATAAAAAATTAAGAAGGTTAGATATAAAGAGCTGTAAGAAATTCTAAAATGTCAGAGAAAACTGCATAGTAAAGAGAATATTGTTATATTAAAATTAATATCCAGAATATATATTTCAAAGGTGGAAATCAAATCTCAAATCAAATGACACACAAGAAACAGCATATTATCATTTATTCACTTCTTGTTCACAGAAATGTTAGAATAAAAAATCTGAAAATGCCTTTAGACAAATAGTTTGTAATATTTAAATTCACTTTGTATAAGTTATTATTAAAAATCTTAATAAGGCAAGTGATGCCAACCTTGTAAATGGGAGTGTGAGTTAAAATAGATTTCTCACAAATATAGTGATTTATTGTAAGACCTTGTTTTTGCTTTTTAATTTTCAAGCTAATCTGAGTATGTTCAGGTACCACGATGACCCACAGCTATATCTGAATCCACTGCTTACTGTGTCGTTGCGGGTCGACAGCAGCTGTTACAGGACCAACACACGCACAGTTCAGAAACAGCACCATCCTGTTTATTTGTCCCAAGACATGTCGCCCTCTGCTGTTTATAAACACTTTATAAATGTGCACCAAAATATCATTCCAAAACCACAATTTAATCATTTAAAATCATTATTATTATTATTATTATTATTATTATTATTATTATTATTACATATTTTTAACTTTTATTTTAAGTGTTCTTCGGCCATGGCTTTGCTGGTTCGTACATGGCGCTGATGAGTGGTTGATGATGACATCAGCGTGCGACGGAAGAGGTGAAGCTGTGTGAGACGAAGACGCTGCTAAGATGAGCTGCACCGTTCAGATCGCAGTAATCATTCAGTTTGACCGATGACGCAGCGCGGATATCCTTACTTATCTGCAGTGATTAAAAACGCGTGATTTAGCTAACAGTCAGTATGTCTTTCTTCGTAGACTCAGTGATTATGTTCACCTCTCAGGTCAGTGGTGATGCTAACACGGCTAACTCCTCTGTTCTGCTCCCAGAGACACACATAGTTGGTGGACTTATTTCTCCACCGCTGCATTTCGGCCGAGGCTCCCAGTATTTTCAGCTTGTTTAACTGTTGGCTCTTGTCCCATTTTCATAAAAATGATCTATTTCTGCTTTAAACACTAGTAGAGGTGAGGCTTCACCAGTCAGCTGTCAGTTGGTCATGACTGGATATCTAAATCATCGCTCTGTTCTGTTTACAGGTGCTGTTTTTCGGGTTTGGCTGGCTCTTTTTTATGCGGCAGTTGTTTAAAGATTATGAGGTATTAAGCAGAACAGTCCTACTATAAATGGTTTCTCTCTTAAATTCACCAAGGCATCAGACCTTGGCATATAAGTCATTAAAGTCCTAAACAAGCATTGTTGGCCCTCGTTTATGTGTGGAGGTCATGATGAATAAATAAAGCTGGAAGACACTCTGCTGTCCATGCTTACAATATGCTTGATTTAGTTAAGGTAATCCCCTTTGTTTCAGTGGTGCAACACTCTTGATTAGGTCTGTTTTGTGGATTTAATAGAAATTATAGCAGAAGAAAAAGATACAGTGAACGAGTAGAAAAGGGGAGAATTTACCTGCTTGCAGATAAATGCAGATTTTTGAAGATCCCGTTGAAGATGTTGTTGCTACTGAGTCTTTACAGTTGCAGCTACTTGGTGAATGTGCTATACTTAATGCTTGTCATGAATATCTACCACTAAGGTTGATGTGTTCCTCCACAGGTGCGTCAGTATGTGGTGCAAGTGGTTTTCTCTGTCACGTTTGCATTTTCCTGCACTATGTTTGAACTCATCATCTTTGAAATCCTCGGAGCATTAAGTAGCACGTAAGTGTCTAAGTGTCTGTAAGCAAAAGCCATAATTTTTGAAAGTTTATGTTTTCTTTTAATTCACGTTTTAATATCTCTTATAGGTCCAGATATTTTCACTGGAAGCTGAATTTATATGTTATACTGCTGGTTCTAATATTTGTAGTGCCTTTCTACATTGGCTACTTTGTGGTCAGTAACATACGTTTGTGTAAGTGGATTTTTGGAGTGGAGTTCTTAAGTCATATATAGTTCTATGTGAATTTATTCTCATCATAATTCATAACAGTGTAATATTTTCTCTTCCACTGTATACACATCTTTAACAGTAATGTTTCTCTTGTATTTTAAAGTGCAGAGACAGAGGCTGCTTTTTGCATGTGTGGTTTGGTTTACCTTCATGTATTTTTTCTGGAAACTTGGCGACCCTTTTCCCATATTGAGTCCAAAACATGGTAAGGGCTTAGATTTTAATGTCAGTAAGCCCAAATACATTCAAAGCAAAAAGGTGAAGGTTATTTAACATTCTAACATGGCCCTTCCTCCCTCCTGCAGGCATTCTGTCCATTGAGCAGCTCATCAGCCGAGTGGGGGTCATCGGCGTGACACTGATGGCTCTGCTGTCTGGTTTTGGTGCTGTGAACTGCCCATACACATATATGTCCTATTTTCTCAGGTAAACGTGCAGAATAATCAGTGCAGAAATACAGATGTTAAATTATAGGTAGATGTGGTCAAAATGACGAGATTTTATCATTGTGATGGTAAATTTTATTGTGATGCACAATAAGCTTACAGTACTATCATAGATATCGTCAGTGATTTACAAACACTGAACAACTGCATGTTTCATTACAAAGAAAATATAATCAATCTTGTTTAATTTGATTTAGTGCAGCACTTTTGTGAAATGTTTAATAAAAATGATTGAATCAGGAAATTAATCAAAATCATCAAATATTATGATATGTATCATGTATGATGATTATATTTTTGCATTGTCGCCCACCCCAATTATATGCATGAAAGAATAGTTAGTGTGACTTGATTCTTTCTTGTAGGAATGTGACTGATAGTGATATCCTGGCTCTGGAGAGACGACTGCTTCAGACCATGGACATGATTGTCAGTAAGAAGAAGAGGTGAGTTATGGAGGGAGAGAGTAACATAAAAGTCTCCCTCATTTCTAACATCACTGATAGTATTGCATTAGTATAAAAGAAATGCTTCTTCAGCCTTAGAAATAAACTCATAGTTGAATAATGATATTCTTCTAAATGATGGCAGTGAATCTGCTGTAGCACTGCTGCCTACAGTTGATGATCCTCTATGTGTAGGATCGCCATGACGAGAAGGCAGATGTATCAGCGAGGAGAGGACCAAAATAAACAGGCTGGATTCTGGGGGATGATCAAGAGTGTTACATCTTCCACTTCAGGCAGTGAGAGTATCCTTTGCTTTGACATGTATGACTATTTTTCCTTGTTTGTTTCATTGTTTAGTTTTTCTGACCTTTTTTCAATATTCTTTTACTGAGTCAGGTAACTCCTGATTGTTACACATGATTTGGATTAGAGATGCAGAATCGCAAGCGAGTTTTGAAGCATAGTCTTTGTACAGTTTGAATTTTAATCATTTGAATGCTCGCTTTTTGGGAGCACTATTGAAGCTTTAAATTTCAAATTTTAATTTCTGATCTTTTTGATCAGAAGCTCATTTACAGCATTAAATCAATGTGAGCAGTACATTTGTGGTCAGTAGTCACACTCATTATTCATTGTCTAGTGGACACGCTCTCTCTATGTATGTGAGATTCCTTCATAATGGAACTGCAGACCTGTCTCTGATCCAGCAGGAGGTGGTTGCTCTAGAGGAGCTCAGTAGGCAGCTTTTCCTGGAGACAGTGGACCTGCAGGCTACTAAGGTACAGTTCTTAAATGCAAAGTGCTGTGCATCATCACATGAAAACTTGCCCTCACAGACGAGTGCCAAAAAAGGAAAAAATACATCCATTGATGCGTTCTTTAGGGAGTTAAAAGTTGTTCTTTTATGGCATCGCTCCAAAGAACCCTTTTTGGCACTCTGTATTTTTGATCCTCTCTCTCTCTCTCTCTCTCTCTCTCTCTCTCTCTCTCTCTCTCATGTAAATACATACATAAAGAGTGTGAGTTTCTAATCAGTCTTGTATTTTGTGATGCACTCAAGTTTAGTTCCCGATCTGGAAATTTGCTTCAGATTGTGAAAATCTGTCATAAGGGGCCAATTTGGGGTAACTTTGGGCTAAAAATCATACCTGTTTGCCCAGCATAAGTCTTAACCTGTTTCTTTGTGTTCCTGCAAAACTGAATGTGTGTGGATTATCTTAAAGTGTGCCTTTTTCTTGGTCGTTAGGAACGAATAGAATACTCAAAGACTTTTCAAGGAAAGTACTTTAATTTTCTGGGGTACTTCTTCTCCATCTACTGTGTATGGAAGATATTCATGGTAAGTGTTTATTTTCATTCATTATGCATGCTTATTATAGTCCATATAACATATAACAGAGTGTCCAGTCTCATCCACAAATGGCTGGTGTGGCTGCAGGATTTCATTGTAAACAAGATGGAGTATTATAATATAAAGTATTATAATATAACTTTGTGCATTCTGTTTAGGCCACAATCAACATAGTCTTTGACCGTGTCGGCAAGACAGATCCAGTGACGAGAGGTATAGAAATCACAGTCAACTACCTGGGAATCCAGTTTGATGTAAGCTTCTTATTTACAGCTTGTATACAAAAACACATGCCTATTTTTAAAAAACAATATTAAGCCTTAGTCACCTGTTTTATTTTCTTGCATTATTTTCTTGCATTTTAGCCACACGTTCCTAAAGTGCTGATGGAAGCAAAGCTGCCAATCTTGTCAATAAAGCCTGTTATTAATTGTATCGCTGCTCTCGGAAGAAAACCTTGTATCTCAATTTTTGTCGTTTTTCAGTTTTTGACATAATTTGAAAATGCCTGTTGCTCATTACATAGTGTATAATTTTAAGGAAGAAGGGTCCAAAAGAAATAGCCCAAAATAATTTGGAAAAAGTCTGGTTCCATTGACTTACATTAAAACTAAAGTAGTTTTTTTCCTTTTCCTGTAAAGTTACCATTTTGGAGATGTGAGGTTTTCTTCCTACAACAGCGGTATGCTACAAGGCCTGCACTGTTCTGTGTGGCCAGAACGTTAAAAGAAAGGTCCCCCAGAGAGAAAGCATGTGCTAATGGTGGTGATGTGCACAGCACTATGGTCAGCATGCTACCATTATTTTGTGGTGTTGTGATGATCGCTGCAGTCCTAGCTGGCAGTAACACTCATGTGTAAGCTGGGCATGAGAACATTACTGAGCTACCTGATTGTTGCCTGTCTCTGCTTCTCTGTGAGAACAGCTCTCCTACTTTGTCCCTTCTATAACATGCAAATATGTTGATGCCCCTGATAGTTCACTTTTCAAACCTCACTTCTCCAGGTGAAGTTCTGGTCTCAGCACATTTCCTTCATCCTGGTGGGAATCATTATCGTCACTTCTATACGAGGCCTTTTAATCACGCTTACCAAGGTAAGCTAGAGAATCATGTCTGTGTTCTTTTGTGATGATGAAAAAAGGTGCCTGTGTTCAGTCAAACAGTGTGAGGAGAATGTTCTTTCAGCAATGTTAGCTAGTGATACACAATGTGCCAGATTTATATCATTCAGTGGTAACCATACTATGAATTACAAAATATGCAGCACAGTAATTAGGAAATAAGATAAAATTACTCTGTATTTTTACACGTCCTACGTAAAAGACGATTAAAATCGACATGTTAATGAAGTTACGGACCAATTCTGAGTGAAGACCTGTTGGAGCGCCAAATTGGACATGCTACTGCAAAAGTAACAATTACTTAACAGTTAAAAAGCGGAAAAATACTGGACAAACAATTGAGGAACAAGTGTGGTATAAAATGTAGCAGGAATTTCTGAGACTTTAGGAAGAATAACAGTGACTTTAAGCATTTTCCAAAACTACAGAGTTGTGCTAAGTTGATGTCTTCAATTATTGTCTGAAATTTTTAAAATTGCATTTGTACGTCAATATCTGTTTTTTTTTGGCCTATTGCTTTAATAATGGGCTTTTGTATGTGCAATACTTGCAGCAAATGTTCCTCTCATGTACTCTTACAGCTGCAGTTGCTATTTTTGCTGTAATGCCCAATCTAAAAAGATTAAAATATGCTTTGGTTTTGTTAACCAAGTGAGTGTATGTGCATAACTTGTTGAGGACAGTTCCATCCACATGCGCTTCTTATTAGGGAGATTTATGGTCAGACCAGGTGTTATTTTTTGGCAGGGCAGTGTTCTGTTATGAGTTGCCAATGACTCATGTCAATGAGAGAAAGGGAGGTAGTGCCACGTATTTTGCAAAGGCTAGGTTGATGATCCTCATTTATGAAATGAGAAACATGTTACGGCAACATTGCTTTTTGCTCACGTTCAGCCTGGCTGTACATTTTATGAATCTGGCCCACAATATCCAAAAGGTTCCAGACACTCCAATCAGTGAATTCATTTACTTTAAAGTGCACCTATTTCTGAAACAAACAATCAGTTTCTCATACAGCTTGTGTAGTTTTATAGAAAACCATTACCAATAGAACGGGACACCGTCAGAATGCAGCTGTACATGAGCCTTATGTCACCATGCCCAAAGTCAAGCAAGCAGCAGAACTGCGTACTCTTGAGTGATGGAGAAACAGCAATGTTCCAGCATTTAGTGTAAAGCCTTCCTAGAAGAGTAGAGACTGTTACTGCAGTAAATGATGGGAATATTGATGTACATATATACATATTATACATATAACATTTGCTTGAACTGCATTTGACATTAGTATAGAACGTAATGAAATAAAGGATACATGATTACCTTCCTGTTTTTTGTTTGCAGTTCTTTTACGCTATCTCCAGCAGCAAGTCGTCTAATGTAATAGTGCTGGTCCTGGCCCAGATCATGGTAAAAGAGCCATATAATGTCAACAGAACACACTGACAATGAGTTACAAGTGTATTTAGGCAGGAAAAGTCACTGTGTCATGCTCCCACTGTTTCTCCCTCTCTCTCTTTCTCTGTAGGGGATGTATTTTGTGTCCTCTGTGTTGCTCATGCGCATGAGCATGCCCCTGGAGTACCGCACCATTGTCACAGAGGTCCTGGGAGAGCTGCAGTTTAACTTCTATCATCGCTGGTTTGACGTGATATTCCTCGTAAGCGCTCTCTCCAGCATCCTCTTCCTCTACCTGGCACACAAGCAGGCCCCCGAGAAGCACATGACCCTGTGACCCTCATTCTTGTGTCTCCTTTCAAAACAACACTTCTGTTTTCTAAGGGGCCTTTACTTTTACTGGGACTGAACTTCCTGAATCAGGAAAAGCCTAGAGACTGCGCTGTTCACTGGGGTGTTGGTTCGAGAACTTTGAGGGTGTTTGTCTAGTTTGGATCAAATTGTATTTACGTGGATGGGACAAGATGTTATAGAAATTAAGTATAGGTTTTCTTCAGTGTTCACTTTTAAAAAATTTTAAATCATTATTCATAAAAATTGTTTTTTTCTCATCATTATTTTGTCATTTTTCATTGGACCAGACATAACAGGAAGCCATACGGGAAACACATAATCGGCTATCATGTTTACCACTATTCACCTGCCTATACACTGTTAGTACAATATTGTACATTAAATCACTAAGCGCTGTCATATATGGCCTTTTTTAATGATATGCCCATGTGAAACATTAGAAACATTAAACACACCCCCAGCTGTCAGAAAAGGGAAAAAAAAAGATTTCAGAATGACAAAGAATGAGCCTGCAGATTTTATTTGCTAGTACATTTATTTGTATTACTCTGTGCACAGAGATGGCTCACCCCTGACTCTTTGTCTTCTAAACAAGAGCCTGTGGCCACATTAGTCTTCCATTCTTATAGCTTTTATCAGAAAAAGATGTTTTTGAATGTATTGTGTTAGCTGAACAGTAAAAAAAGAGGGTAGATAGTATAACCCAGTACCAAAAACATTATTGTGGAAAGAGTTTGCTCGTGAATGGCATCAAATATTTTACAGAATCATCACATTTCACGAAACTGCCATCAGAAAAAAAGCGGAGAAAATACATCATTTCAGGGAAACTGCTTGGAAAAGTGCATCTCATTTGCTTTAAAGGTTGGACAGTCCAGTCTCATTATGCCAGTGATGTCATTGCTCATGATCACTGTGGGTAAATGTAGGAGACCCTCAGATACTTGAATAAATATTTTTTAATAAGGCTGCTACATCATTTATTTATCATTTATCATTGTTAATACATGTGATCCTGGTTTGTGAACAGGGCACAATCCCTGATTGCTTTCCTTCAGAAAAGTTTCTGTTTAGGAAGGGTAATTATTTACCACTTACAAGACATTTTAACTTGATTGTGCAAACTGATGACATAAATATCAATATAATCCAGCATCGAGAAAAATGTGGGGTGGCCTTCTCAAAGTCTCACATCCTCACTGCCTGCCGAGGATGTAGATGATACGGAAGGTGTCTAAAATGAAGAAAAAAGAGATACCAGTTGAATGAGAGAGCAACAATTTGAATGTTTAGTGCTGGGTGATGCATCGTCTAATCTTTTATACTGATTTATGCGGTGAGAGTATTTTGAAGAAATAAAAACTAAATAATTAGGATGATTCTTTTGTGAAAAACTACTATCTACTTGCTGAATGTTTACAATACTGTGTGAAGTTTCCTTGGGTGTAATTTTACAAGAAGAAAACAGAATAAAACCGTCTGATCAAGCTATGTTAGATTTGTTCACTTAGGGTTAGCAGTAATGTTTGCAGTAATGTTTAATATTTGTAAAATAGCACTGACCCTCACACGAGGCTGAACTGGTGGGGTGGCTGATCTTTGGGTTTGTTCCTCTTGTGCGATGGCAGGGGCGCAGGGCTCTGGTGTTTGCTCTGTAGCCAGCAGCTGTGGGGTGATTGCAACTCCTCTGACTTTAAAGTAGTCATAGGCCGCCTTCTCTGCCACTAGGAGGACCAGTGTGTCACCACTGTTGCGGATCATTTGTACAACTTCGTCGTGCGTGCTCTTTTCCACGTTCACACTGTTGACCTCCACCACAATGTCATCATCCTCCAGCCCAGCTCTGTCTGCTGCTCCACCCTTTACCACCTGTCAACAAGTAGGGTGCTTGCATAAACTACTTGCTCTGTATTGGCATATTAGTTTGTATGTACTCTATCCTAGCTAAGCCTCGTGTTACTACATACTTCAGATTATTCCCACCTCTTTGATATACTGTCCATAGACTCCTTGAATACCATTGAGGTGGAACCCGTATCCAGCAGCTGTCTTCTCCAGGCGACACAGTTTGGGCTTGTAGTATTCTTCGACAGCAGCAGGTACAGCTGGAACTGGGATTGGGGCTGGAACTGGTGCTGGGACTGGGATAGGTTCAGGCTCAGGTTGACTTGGCTTAGGTAGGGAACCCCTGATTTCCTCCCAGTAAAGTAGGGGAGAAGCAGCACCCTGTGAGAGGACACAAACGTTTTACGCATGGCCAGATTCCCATAACCAGTTTAAGCCTAATCCTCAACTAGATAGGATTTTAAATGTTGAAACACCTTTGCAGTTTAGTCTAAGACTAGATTTAATCCATGTCAAACAAACAAACAAAAAACAAAAAAAGAGCCCATAGCATTCAGAATCTCTGAACCTGGCTTAATCTTCAGACTTCAATCTGCCTGTTATCTTTTAGCATAGAAGAAAACAAAGAAGGGTCAAAAAAGTTAGAGAGTAAATTATTTTTTTTAATCTGAAAAGAACAATTCTGTCTATATTTGTGGAAAACAAACATTTTCATTGGGGAAAATCCAACGCACCATCTTGTATAGTTTGTCTGTTTCAGCGTCGACCACAAGGAGGCAGCATCTGTTCCCAAGCTGTCGTATTTTGTCCACCAATTCCTCATGTGTGCAGTCATCTACCTCCTTTCCCTCCACAGCCACCACCCGGTCCTTCTCCTTCAGGCCTGCTCTCTCTGCAGGGCTCCCACGGTCAATTTCTCCGACGTAATGACCTGAGGAGCAATGATTTATAGCCATTTAAAGAAAATCAGGATGAAGATTTAGGATGTGCCAGTTGGGAATTTGTTTAGTGAGAAGATATTGCATTACAAATACCTTTTTACAGAGAGATCTGAGAGTCCAGATCCAGTGATCATCTACCTTTCACATATTTGTGTCACAAACGGCAGTATGACAGTAGTACTATGATTTTTGATAAACCATCCCCACTAAAATTTAACAACTTTATATACTATACAAAAATTTTAGGCATCTGAAAATTATATTTAAGAAGCTATTTATCTGGGCAGTAAGTGTTTATTGGCTCCAAAAAGAAGCCCCATATTATTTGTAGTTTTCATCCAATACATTGTTCACCTGCTCAGTAACAACAGTACATCTTCAATATATTTACTTGAGTGTATTCAGATGTTTCACTACTGCTACATCACTGGTATGTTGTTTATGTGTAACTGATAATCTGTTAAGAGTTTATTAATCATCTACAAAGGACCACTCAAAATAGTGTTACCCAATTAATTTTAAAAAAATTATTTTTACTGCATATGTGATTTACTGTTTTTTACATGCGAAAACAAATCTACTGCCCAGATAAACAGTTTTATACAATTTGCTTAGCTGCCTAAGACTTTTGCACAGTACTGTATGTTTTTTTCAATGTTAATCAGAGCAGAGTCAAAAAAAACATGCTGTATCTTGCAATAATATAATGTGGGTCATACATTTATTGTAAACCTTGAATTATGGGTGTCACACACAACAAGCATACAGGTTCAGAGGTCCAAAAGGTTCAATCTAGAATTCCAAGGACCCCAGAACCTTGTTTCTTTAAGAAGAACTTGTAATATGCGCACGTAGTATAGTAATGTTAACTGCTTAAGATTTGTCTTCTATTATCTGGCAAATAGATTCAAGCTGGTCCTTAAGTTTAGACTTATCCAGCCAAATCTTGTATTGGTCCAAGGAAGAAGCCTCAGCTTTGTGTACCTGTGTTGCATAACGTGACATGAATTGACATTTGTGGGAGCTAATTAACAGTCTGTGTTTCAGGTGTGTGCTAAAATTTTAAGATGAAAACAAAAATGGCAAAAAAAGATAAGCACATTACAGATAAACAGTGAGATTGCGGAGGGTGGCTAGTACATGCAAACATGCAAAGTCACAAGCTGTTTTTCTTTTTTTCCTAAATGTTACTCCACACATGTGAGGGCACACAGAAAGCTTTCATCTGTGAAGTCTGGCTGCATGTAAAGGTGACGTTAGACCCCTACAGATACGATTGACCTTGAACCCTGCGACATTTGTGATGCACTGACAGCATTTTGAGAGCAGTCAGATTTCTCCTACCTGGCATTGTAGGGTCTGCCTTAAGGAAGTAGCCATAACCACTGGGTCCCTTGGTCATTTCAACAATGCGGGGCTTCTGTGGGAGGTGCTTCACTGTGGCTAGCCCAGGCCCCAGTTTGATGCGTTTGTTCTTGTAGTATTTATCTGTGTCCTCATCCGCCAGTAAGAACATTATGCTGTTTCCAGAAGTCTTGACCTAGCAAGCAGAGGGATGAAAGCCTTTACTAAAAGAAACTACTCGGCAAATGACATGGCTTTTAAAAGTGTTAAAGCTTTGCTTACCTTTTCCACAGCTTGATCATGTGTAGCATCCTCCACATTTTCTCCATTAATTTCCACCACACGATCACCCACCTTAACCCCTGCCTTATCAGCAATCCCTCCAGCAATTATATCCATCATGAAGATTCCCTGTTCACCTAGGATTGTAGAACAAACCCTTCAACTCTTCAGTGTCCTTGAAATATGCATGACTGGGCTGATTTCAAAACACAAAAGCCATAGTTCATAACCTTCCTCACCTTTATTGGATTTCAAAGAGAAGCCAAACCCAGCACTGGACTTCTGCAGAAAGCAGAGTTTAAGTTTAGGGGCTGGGGCAGACACTCCATTCATGGTAGGCTGGCCCTGAATGAGGTGGGACTGTGGGTCTGCAAGGTTTATTCCATTGATTTTGGCCTGATTATATGCTTCCTCCCCAAGGACATGAAATGTGACGGTCATTCCACTTTTCCTCACCAGATCAGCAACCTAAGCCCGGTGAACAAAGCAGAATTAGAAGTATTATCTATTTGATGTTTGAAAGCAATCACTCCTCAGACGTGTCATTAACCTCCATCACTGTCAGCGAGTCTAACTTTAATGTGAAGTTTAAATGCCTTGTTTATAGTTTTATATTCAACTTTATACCTGGTTGTGCTCCAGGTTGTCCACAAAAGTTCCATTGACCCTGATGATGCGATCTCCGTCCTTGATCCCTGCCAGCTCAGCAGGACCGCCCATCTCCAAGGCCCGAATCAGATGACCTTCCTCCCCCTGCTCGATCCTCAGGAAGAAGCCGAAGCTCTGTCCCTCACGCTTGGTAAGGGAGATCACTCGAGGTTTTGGCCCAGCCATCTTACCTAATGGAGGAGAATACCTAGAGTCAACCAGTTATTCTTAACTCTTAAGCCAGTCCATATCTTATCGTAATTATCACTACCACTCATCATTTCATACACGCCCAATTATTTTACAACATACGCTGTTGTAAAAGTGTCAATTACAGTGTTCAGTGTTTATCAGTGGGGCATGGTGAAAGGCTTTCTTACATCACCATTTAAATCTCTTATATGACACTGTAAAAAGAAAATGAGTAAAACGTAAACACAGCAAAATAGTTATGGTAAAATCTTGTGAGATTCCCCCAAAATTGTCCTCAGAAACATTATACTCCAAGTCTGAGTTTTCCTATCTCCATTATTCTGACTTTTAAGTACTTCATATCCTTAAGAATACTGTAATGTCCATATAACCCTCAATCTTTACTTTAGAACAACTAAAATACAGGTGCCTGTAACTAATAAATACTAATAAACTTATAATCACATCACATTTTAAAGAATAGTTGTGGATCAGGTTAAGGAAATACAGAATATAGGCAAAGGGAGATTCTTTTTGCACCTATCTTCCCTATTGATTTTTTTCAGACTTTGCAAGATAACTTTGGTAATCTGAGATTGCAAATCATAGCAATTATCCTGAGTCATAAAATCACTAGCTTGTGTAAGACACGAGGAACAAGGTAGAGGACCTGGAGGTTTAATAAGAAGATAATATGCTGACATTCTGAGAATATGATCTGGCTCTTTGATTGTTAATCGTTAAACTAGAGGTGCTATGACAAAGTGCGCTCCTTGCTGGAATGGGTGCACTTTGCCTCCATAATAAAAAAATGTCAATAGCAATCCTTGTCAAGCATGAAGAAAGAGAGGAGAAGGATGCAAGAAATATTGTGCTTGACCTCATATTAATAAGACTGCATTTCAGGTTTACAGCAAATTGCAAAAGCTTTTATGCCTTTAACTCTGCAAGTTATTATGCAAGTAAGAGGAATCTAGCACTGACTACATTAGAGAGCTGTCAGATATTGACATGATACTACAGTAATAGGTAGAGTCCTGTAGCTGTCTATGAGCCATGATATCCTCAGAATACATGGCTTAATACTCAACTATAGTGATAATAATTAATAACGTAAGAGTTTTCTGAGAGCTGAGAGCACTTGTTGGATTGCAACTTTTATCGATAACAGCACACTTTGCAGACGCTAGACTTGTTCAATATTCAGTGCAACATTATACACTATGATAAAACTTTTAATATTTTAGGAGCCAAAAGCAGTGTACAAAATAAAATATAGTATATGTAATTAGTAAAAAAAAACAAAAAGCTCAATACAAATAAATGTAAGTACAAAATAGAAAAAGTAAAGCTCAACAACTGATAAGGAATGCATTTTTAGACAAACTTTCTGCAGTTAAAGGTTTTAATAAGGGAACTATTGTTTGTTATTTTGCTGTAATTTCTTGTAAGCGCTATCAAAACACATATTTACTGTCAATATAGCTTTTAACTTGTAATTTTAAATTTTAAACCAATAGTATCACTTACTAGACAGGAATTACATACACTGTCTTAATGCTAATGGAAATCCAATGAGATGTCACTAATAAGGTGCAGAACACTCACCTGTTCCAGTCCTTTGGATGTTTGTGCCTAAAGGAGATTTTTACCTCTCCTTCCACAGGTGTTATCTTGCTGTGCCCAAGTATGTAACGGACTTTGACAGACCAAAGGTTGACATAAAGAGTGAGTTATTTAACCACATCCCGTGGCTGGTAGCCTCTTCACAGTGTTGCTATGTATGACCATGATCAACCCTGTAAACTACAGCAATCATAAACTTTGGCCAAAAGATTTGAGCAAAGGTGAGAAGCTACTGGGGCTGAGAAGAAAAAGGACTCTGCATTTGCTTTATTCTGTCTCTAACAGTTTCATATGTTCCTCTATTCATTTGAATCTAATTTTAGACATTTTAATACTGCATACTAAACCACTGTGATAGCTCGGTGCGACTTTAACTTCACGTCGTTAGCAGCGACCGACAATTAAACTGCCCTTTCATTCTGCTTACATAACCTCAAGCAGTAATACAATGTTGGGTTAATAGTAATAACAATTTTAAATAGCAATTTTCATTTGCAAATTTATCCTTGAGGTTCTTTTCTTGAGGTTTCTTGCTTTTTTTTTACTAGAAATGAGATAAAAGCTGATGTACCTTTTCCATGATTAGTTTTATTCTTTTCCATGATTAGCTTTAGCTCCTCTGATCTCTGGTTTAAATCTAGATTCTGCCGCACATCTTCACCTACCAGACCAGCATGTATGCCTAATAATTGACACTAGTGAGGTTTTGGCCTATTGCTGTTTATTGAAATTCGGTCCCCAGCGATGACACAATTATCACCAGGAAAGCCTGTAAAGTCACGTAAATAAAATGGAAAAAAAGGCTGACATATGAGACATGAGCAGCACTGCTGAACATCTTCCAGGAAATCTCAAGAGGACAGGAGTTGGGAAAAAAAGATTAGATGTGAGAAGACAGATCCTCCCTGTGATATCTTAAAATAGCTACATCAGCTTATCTACCAATTCTATTTCTCCCAGTTCTCACTTTGATCTCGATGTCAGAGTACTCTCCTTTACCGAGACTCTGAACTACTTTCTAAATACTTTGCATGCATCTACCAATAGCCATGAAAAGTTCGAATTTGCAATTATTTGTAAAATTGCTGTGGAAAAATAAATGTGCTGTGGAAAAATGAAAAACATTTTAAAGGACACTCTGCACAGTACGGTCACTATTTCCTTATATGTAATGCAGAGTTCAACATAATGTTGTTTTGCTTCACTATAAAAAACGATTTGTCAGTTCAATTAAAAAAAGATCTTCATGTGATAACAAGCAAATAAATTAGATTTACTCAACTCGAGTAAATACTTTGAATGAAACAATACAGAGCAAAATTGGAACAGAAGCATTAATTCACCTCAATTCAAACCTTTTTAGCTTCTCTCCAGAGATAATAAGGGCATGACTGATGGACAGATTTACTAATTGATTTATTGGCTTATTGACTTATTAATGAATAAATTACGCCACTGCTAAAAAAAACACCCACTGTGTCCGTTAGCGGATTTATTTAAGGAGCTCAGCTCTGTTGTGAGCTTTTCCCTTTTTCAGTACAAAATACAAACAAATCCTTAGCCTAAAAGAAACAGAATGTAATTGTGAGCCTCTGGGCAAATTAAAGCCTTTTTAACATAATGGTTTTGATCTCTGTCCTCTCAAGGCCACAGACCTCTAAATTAGCAGACACACTGCAGCTTAATACTGACATGATGCTGAGGATAAGTCAACTAAGGCCTCTGTGAGTGTATAGTGTTCACTGTGTGTCTGCGGTTCTGCTGAGACCAGTGTGCTGTTTTGATTTTGCACAGCGCGCAGAGACCCTAAGTCTGTCACGCCAGGCCCAGAGGCAACACATGCAACTGGACTTTTCATGTACTTAAACAGTCTTAATTCAGTTTATCATAACCATTTTTGCATCTATCCTTATTCCTTAGAATTAAACATGCTGGTTTGGTTACTGTGCCTTTAAGACTGATATATGTAAATTACCTGTTGTGATTGGCTGTCCTGAATGGCACTTCAGTCAAAAAGCATTCCAGGCTGAAAAATATGAACTAACTCAAAGATGAACTCAAAGATGTTGTGACATCACAACTACGATGCATTCAAAAAGGCTATTTTTGTATCTTTAGCCCTTTTCACATACAAATAATCGTATTTTTACTGCTAATGTTCGAACTTTGCATGATTCATACACACAGCCCTAAACAGGGAACTAAAAAATTCAACTAATAAAAATAAACAAAATGTCACAGAAACGTTCAGCTCTGGCTGTAATCCTGATGTCTTTGTATTTCCCATTATTCTATCAACTTTTGTTCACACATGAGCTCATGAGAAAATTTCCCAGGAACTGTACTAAGTCTCACACAGGTAAATTTTACCAGGAACTTTACTGGGATTAAATTCTCACTGAACCCCTTCCCGTTTAATTACTGTCAAATTCCCAGGTGTAAATTATGTGAATAACTAAAATTAGATTTTCCATGATATGAGCCCTTTAATACATTCATACACATCTAAAACCTCCTGACTGCTTTCCTAGCCGATCACACAGTTAAAGGCACAGACTGCATCCTAATGCACACTTAAATAAATGCCACATAAGGAGTTTAATAATTGGGCTGTCTAACCTCAAAATACAGTTTTGTCCTTTGTGATTGATTCATTGACATCCTAATACATTTTTTATTCTCAAATAATTGGAACTTATGTCTTAGCAGAATCTGTTGAAGAGAATGATCCATGAATTCCTACTCTAAGCACTGAGGAGTGCTCTTACCACACACATACTGTGCACACTAAAGCAATAACACGCCTCAGTGGGCTGCCTTTTCGATACCCTTTAATTATTTAGCAGGGGTCTGAATGTGCTGCAGTAACCTTGAAGGAGCTGTACACCTTAATGTCAAAGAGCAGTAAGGATAAACGTACTACAAACAATATCACAACAGTGCAGTGTATTTTGGCTATACCAGGAGGAGGCTACTGTGCTATACTTCAACACAAAGCACAAAGCTCTGCTGAAATTCCTCGGCTGACGCCTTCAGGCAGTTTCCTAATGTCTGGGTTCTGGAATTTGTTACTGCAGGGATGGCTTTTCCCCCTGTTTTATCCAATGTATTTCTATAAAATAGAGCTTAACCAATAACACTGCCAGATTAGATTTGCATTCCTTGTACCTGCACTCACTGACTGTTTCATCAGGCCACATACTACCCCATCCATCAAAGAGACCACTATACGACCAGCATTGACCAGATATTATTAGGATGGTGGACCATTCTCAGCACTGTAGTGGCATCACGTTATGCAAGGTGGTGTATCAGATGGTTTTTATCAGGGTTATTATATTTTGGGAAATTTTCATTAGTTTTAATTTCTATGTAGTTTTTCATTTCAGTTTTGATTTCAGTTTCAGTTAATCTTAAGGGTACGTTAAAAGTTTAAGTTTTGTAACAGTTTTAGTTTAGTGTTTATTTAGTTTGAGTTTTTTGAGTTTTTGATGTGATAGTAGGTATTTGATAAGGATGAAATAAAATTAATACAACAGTGGACTGCGCTCAGCTCAGCTGGAGATTTCCTTAAAGAGGTTCCACTTCTAAACTCTTATTCCTGCACTGAAAAAAATGAAAACTAAAGGTTTTTTTCTAAGTAATCTTTTTGTTTTAGTTTTGTTTTTGCCTTCGACATTATAGTTTTGATTAGTTTTTTTGTATTTTGAAAACTGTCTTTTTTATTTTTATTACAGTTAACAAGCACTTTTTTCACTGTTAGTTTTCACTGTTAGTTTCTAATACATTGTACACAATGATGCTATGCCTGACAGTCATTCCAGTGCAAGGTTCCTAATAAAACAGCAACTTAGTGCATACTCCAGAATTTCAAACATTGTAACAGTCATTTTATCAAAATAGCATTGATGTAAATCTCAGACAGTACAAAAACAGATCTTTTGGGTCTTAAAGCAAAATGTTTGGTAAACACCGGACAAAGTACATCTGTCTAAGAACAGTATCCCAGAATAATATAGCACAAAGCCAGCTCAGCAAAGCTGATTCACTGATTCAACCAAACATTCCTGGTCAAATGAAATCATGAAGATGGACACCAGTTACCTAAAGTAGTTAAAGCTTTAGCCCTGAGCCTTCACAATTTGCTGGAAAATAAAATGGATACACGTTACAGCATCCAAGGTCAGCCAGGGTCTGAATGTGCTTTATACAAATACAGATCCACTGTGTGCATTTCCTAGAAGTCAACAGGGTCAAAGGGCTGTCTAATTCCACCATTCATCCACAAGGGGATCATGCAAACTTTTTGTGAACCTCCAGAAAGTTTAATCCTCATCTCTGATTGGATATTTTAATCTTTCAATCTGATTAGCTAGATGAATGCTGCTATCGGATTGTCAGGCAAAGCACACCATCTGGCTGCCAGCATCCTACCAAGTACCCATCACTGCAGAACAAATTGTCCAGGGGGTGGAATCAGATGCAGCTGTTCCCAGATTATCCTGTTTTTTTCTAGATTTTACTGTTATAGACTTAATGATTTATAAGTTACTTGTTTATGATTTAAACTTGCATCAAATGGTCTGATTGTCCGCCCCCACTTCGGACAGTCAGACTACATTTCCTTATATTTCTACCTGGCATACAGACCAGTACTTAATCAAGCTCCCCCAGTAAGACTGTTAAAGCATAGACTGAAGAAGCAGATTATATTGTAGCATTCTCCAAGTCATAGTATTTTATTAACCAGCTGTTCTTGGCCATAGCTCGTCATACAAAGGCAGAGTTTCAGCTCGTTAAGCTAGCTGTCAGCTATTGACTGACTGTCAGTTCTTCCTGATCTACCCACATATCCCCCGTCAAAAACATTTCTTGAACAGGTTACAATGTGAGACGCTACACTATGACTGCTTTGCTACAGGGTGGCCAGGCATTTTGGTGACCTGTCCCCAACTTGGGCTGTCCCCAGAAATGTCCCCATTTTTAACTGTGTATTAAAAACGCACTGGAAAGTCCTGAAAATGACCTGTTGCGCTTGTTTTGGCCAACAGAGGGGATTGGCTGCTGCTATCTTCAAACCACTTCTACCACTTGTTCACCTAGTTTTAGAGAAAAACTGCTGTATTAAACTTGACTAAAAGCTAGCAACTGTCAAGTGACAAGAGGTAACCTAAGGATTAAAAACAGGGTTGAGGTTATAGGACTTAAATTGTACTTCCAGGTGCTAGGTAGGTATTGTACTTCCAGGTGCTAGCTATCTAATTTGTATAGGCATACAATCTACTTGAATGTAAGCTGATATGTGATCTACAAAGAGTGCATGATTTTCCTAAGCTGTGTCATTTTTTCAACCATATGCCATATGTTGAGAGTACCCGTCTCTGTCTCTTCAGCCCAGGGGTGTGATTAGGGTCTGGTTATTGGGCACCAGTGGTCTTTTTTCTGTAGCCATGGTTCTCTTTTTTTGCCAAAACATTTAATAAGAATATGAACTATGGGCTCATACAGTCACTGAATCTTTTGTGGTAAACATATCCCTGCTTCATCCCTGCCTAAGCCGCTAGACTTAGTGACTTCTGAGACCCTTTTTACTCAGTGACTTTATTTCTAAAAAGTGACAAGTGACAAATCTTGTGAGGAGGAAAGCAAGAAATATAAATGTTTTATAGGACTATGTAATTTATTCCTATGCATGCTGATCATTTTCTTTATTGAGTATTCCATCATAGCTTCATTTACCATGGAAGGCTACTGTATGACTTTGTGACACAGTTCACCAAGTTAGGACCCAAGTTTATCAGTTGGCCTTCACCATAGTTTATTACAGTACAACAGTTACCATGGTCAAAACATGTGAACCTGGAACTGCCCCACCTTTTTTATTTCATAGATAAAAACATTGGATATTTGAATGATATATTGACTGTCAAACTGAAAATGTCCCTGCTTTTTATTTCAGAAATCTGGTCACCTTACTTTGCAAGCACTGGTTTGGAGGTGTTTAAATTTGCTGTTATGCAAGAAGATGGTACTGCTGACCTGAAGGGATATATGCCGAAGGTACAAAAAGCTACTTCAGCACTTGTATTGAAAACATAGTGCCTACTACAGAAAGGCCAGTTCTGACCTACGCATTGAAGAAGCTAAGACACAATACAGACTTAATCTGGAGCATCACTGCAACACCACTGACACCAGGCACATGTGACAAGGACTAAAACAGTGATGAAGTGCTTTGAAAAACTAATCTTGGCCCATACACCGAACATTATACCAGACACTCTGGACTCTCTGGGCCCTCTCCAGTTCTTGTAGACCAAACAGATTCATCTGCACTGCCATCTACACAGCTCTAGAACATCTAGAGAGCAAAGACAGCTACATGAAAATGCTGTTCATTGACTACAGCTTGGGATTTAACACTATCATCCCATCTAAGCTGACTGAAAAAATCCAAAAAATCCAGAGACGCTACTTGTGCAACTGGGTGCTGGATTTCCTGACTGGCAGTCTCCAGTCTGTCAGGATTGGAAAGTAGCACATGGATTATAAACACAGGGATCCCCCAGGGCTTTGTGCTGAGTCCTACGCTGTCTACTCTATTCACTCATGACTGTGTTGCCCCCCACAGTAACACCACCATGATCAAACTTGCTGATGATACCACAGTGATGGGACGGATAAGACGGCCTATAGGACGAAGGTGGCAAACCTGGTGGCATGGTGTCAGGTCAACAGTCTCTCCTTAAATGTTGACAAGACAAAGGAGATGTTCGTGGACTACTGGAGGAGGGCAGAGCAGCACAAACCACTGCTCATTCATCAGATGGAGGTAGAGAAAATGAGCACCTTCAAATTTCTCAGTGTCCACATGAGTGAAGATCTCACCTGGTCTCATAACACAACACAATTGGTTAAGAAAGTGCAACAACGACTGCTTTCCCCACCGGCTCTGTGACAGTCTGATTTGGAAACTGCTTTGCAGAGGACCGCTCTGCAGCGTGTCTGCAGCAGGTGGTCAGGACAGCCCCAAACAATCTCAGGAATTGCCCTCTGACAACTAGAGGACATTTACCACTCCAGGGTCTTCAGGAGGGCCCAGAAGATAATTAAAGGCAAAACCCACTCTCAACACAATCTCTTCACACTTCTCCCATCTGGCAGACAACACAGGAGTGTGAAATCAAGGACCACCAGATTACGGAACAGTTTCTACCCCAGGCCATCAGGAGTCTGAACACCTCGCACTCAATGGCCCTCGCTCCAACCACAATAACACCTCATACTCCGCTGACACAAGCATCTGACCAATAAAGTTGTCCAAGAACCACCCCCAACCCCACCCCCATTACCCATATTCCACAAAATGGCTGCTATAACGTTACAGACTTTCATGCACAGCATGTGTGCAGTTCACATTCTATATGATAGGTCTGTATATTTTTATACTGCATATGTACAGTATATGTGTGATACATATCTATCATGCACATTAACATATATATATATGTATACTTTTAAGGGCACTTTAATCTCTCTTTAGCTGCTATTGTATAGTATTTTTGTTTGCACTTATACTGCATACTATAAACATACAATCTGTTTTTATGCCTGTTAGTAACTGTCACAGCTACAAACACAACTATAGAGTATAGTAGACTGTATAATATATGCTGACTGTCCACTTCATTAAGAACACTTCCTTATATCTACAATCACTGTCCATTTTATCAGCTCCACTTACCATATAGGAGCACTTTGTAGTTCTACAATTACAGACTGCAAACTTTGTTAGCCCCCTTTCACCCTGTTCCTCAATAGTCAGGACCACCACAGAGCAGGTATTATTTGGGTGGTGGGTCATTCTCAGCACTGCAGTGTGTTAGTCAGGTAAGGGTTGTGTGTTAGTGTGTGTTGTGCTGGTACGAGTGGATCAGACACAGCAGTGCTGCTGGAGTTTTTAAACACCTCAGTGTCACTGCTGGGCTGAGAAAAGCCAAACAACCAAAAATATCCAGCCAACAGCATCCTGTGACCACTGATGAAGGACTAGAGGATGACCAACACAAACTGGGCCTGGAACTGATTCTAGACATATTTATTGGTTTCCTAACAGCATCTAAAGGTGTGCTACAGGAACCTAGTGATCTCTTATGGTAACCATTAAGCCAGTTCCCATTAGGTTTTAATCCTAATGCTTCTTATGGTCTGTTTTTCAGCTGCTGCATGAATGCTGCCCTCAGAAAAAAGTCACTGACTAATTGCCAGTGATTGTGAGGTACGTTTCCAATAGACATGCAATGGCCTGGTGTTAAATTTAGCTCCTAAACAGTAAGAAGTGAAAGAGTGGTGATATAAACTCCCTAAAAACTCTGACTGTAGCCACTGTGAGGAAAAATAAATAAATAAATCACACACCTATTAAACAAGGTTTCAGCCTACACAAACGCGTGTAATTCTTAAGAGCGTTTTAGTTATTTTTCCCCCGCAATAATTATGGACGGAAAATTTTGATCATTATTTTGATTGGTCGCGTGACGTCAGTCTCTCAGAACTGGTTTATAGATCTAAGGCGTGTATCTTCTCTCTGTGGCCACTAGGGGGCGCCAATGTCAAGCGCCCAATGACAGACCATCCTTAACTTTTTATTCCACTGGAAGCTGAGGTGTCTTTTCAATCTCCTGCTCTGTAGCGTTTTATGCCTCTCCTCTCCATAACACATGTGACACACCCCCACCAACACACTCTCTCTCTCTCTCACACACACACAAACACACACCCTTAAGTCCCATCCACGCTCATCTTCTCTCTCAGAACCGACAAGGCGCTGATGCCAGGAAACAAGCTCGCTCGCTCGCTCTCGCTCTCCCTCTCCCTCTCTCTCTCTCTCTCTCTCTCTCTCTCTCTCTCTCTCTCTCTCTCTCTCTCTCTCTCTCTCTCTCCTTTATATCAGTGCACCATAAGAGATCCCTCAGCAGTAAAGGGCATCCAAGACTCAACACAATACCAAGCAAGGAAGTCAGAAAGATTTTGAGTTTAAACTGAACAAAAAGACGAACTTCAGATCAGCTGAACTCACAGTAGGTCTTTGTTACTGAATATTACTTTTATTGTAAGAAACACATTTTTTGTGGTCATTTCGCTGAACACCATTAATACCGTAGCTCTGGTTTGGAAGAAGAGTACCAATGTACAATGTCGTTAGCAGGCCACGGCATGGATTTACGCCTGCTGAAGGAGATGCTGGAGTGTGTGGGCAGTCTGAACGGCTCGGCTGTGAACGGGACGGACATCACTAACTCCACCTGTGGCCGCGATGTGCTGCTGCCCAAAGCGCCAAACTCCAAACCCAAAGGTAAGAGTTCTCCATCTGGACAGACACGACCAGCCCCGACTCTCTGCAGCTTCTCTTTGGGGTTGAATAAAGAGCCAACGAGCTGGCGTGTGAAGTCCCTCCAGCGTCACTGCTTCAGCTGCGCGCATATGGGTGGGAGGCAGTCGCTGAAATATTCATTTGCAGGGGGGCTTATTTATGTGTGTGTACAGATAAAGTCAAGACTAGAGCAATTTTCTCCGACGCTGTGTTAGACTGCACATTGTTGCAGTTCATACAGTTTTGTCTTAGGCTGTAGTTTCTTTTTGGCTCTTTTAGACCCTCCAACAAAACATATTAAATAATCCACTGTGCGTTTGTATAGCGCGCGTACAGAAACGGCTCCTGTCAGTGCGCTGCTGCGGCGCTGTGTTTAGATGCATAAAACCAACCTGATCACAGACAAGAGCATGTAAGAAACCTACAGCCCTCCACTAGAAAGGCATGTCAGGATGTTTTAACAACAACAACAACAACAACAACAACAATAATAATAATAATAATAATACATCTTATTTACATTTATATAGCACTTTCATTTTAGATACACAATCTCAAAGTGCTTTATACAGGAATATTAGTGAAATATTGGAAAGATCACTAAGCAGCAACTGAAAATAACAGTACAGTTACAAACAGTAGACAAAGGGCTACAACACTGCCAACCTAAACACGTATGTTTTTAATCTGATTAGAAACACACATGGAGCTTGCGTTCCTAATACTGGCACAGATTCACTTTTTGAAACAATGTGAGATCATTTTGAGGGTCGCAAGATGGTTGTCAAAAAAAGTACATAGCTGATTTGTAAAAGTGTAAAAGAGATTTACTGCAATTAACCCAAAACAGATAATCAGTTTGTTTAGTTTTAGCACTAATCCACCCTGAAACACCTCTTTACTGTGCTATACATGTTTGTTGACCTATGCCATAAGAGTTATAGTGCTTTCTTTTTCTTTGTGTCATCAATTATCAAAACTGAGTTTCTATACTGAATATACATGTTATTACTCCTATTAATAATGTTATTCATTAATAATATTTTTAGGTGACACTATTTTGAGTGATCATTTTTAGATGAAACAAACACTCAACGGACTCTCAGTAACATGTCAAAAACATATGAGGGTTAGGATTAGGTTTTGGGTTGAGGTTAAGGTTGGGGTTAGGATTAGGGCCAGGGTTAGGTAACATATTAACAATACATCAACTTAATGTAAGATATGTATCAACAGTCCATCTTCAATATATTTACTTCAGTGTATTCAGATGCTTCACTACTGCTACTTCACTGAGACGTTGTTGATGTGTTACTGATAATCTGTTAAGAGTTTATTAATCATCTAAGTGTTACCATTTTTGTTTTAACACTGATATATAAAGCATGAGATAAAAATAAGTGTAACTGTAGATGTACTTTGTTTACACAGTTTTACATTTGAACTGTTGTATGTAAGCTTTAGCCTCCTTGACAATGCACCCCACTCCCTCCACCTCTTGTCACACCAAATTTGCACCCCTGATTCCTAATATTCTCTGTAATGCAATTGCAGAATTTAGGAGCTATATAACATTGATCTTCCACCAATGGAGCTGTTAGTGATTCTAAGGGGTTGCTGTTTGCCTCAACTGAGCACAGTGGGCTAGACAGGCTATAACGCTTCAGATCAGCAAGCAATAGCTAAACTATTAAGAGTTTAAAATGTCATAAGCAAGACTATGTAAAACTTAACAGGAAGCCAATGTACATGACTAAGAGCAGAGTAATATGGGCAAACTTTCTTTCCCTTTTAAGCACATGGACTGCTGCATTAGGAACTAGTTGGAACCTATTTCTTCTTAGAAGCATGAATTAATCTCTCAGAATCTCATATAGTATGTGGCTTATTTTGAATATTTTTCTCAAGTAATAAAATGATGCAAGATACTACTGCTATGGGAATAAAATAATAAACTAGTATGCAGTGTTACACCCAGGTTTTAAACTGTAGCTTTTGGATGCATTGAGAAACCATTATGGTCAACGATAAAATCTGCAGTTGTATTTTGATCAGACTTAGGACCCAACAGCAATACTTCTGTTTTGTCAGAGTTTAGCAAGAGGAGGTTTCTGGTCATCCAGGCTTTTGTGTCTTTCACAATCTTCTGTGTCATTAAATCTGGCTAAGCTGACACGTATAACTTAGTATCATCAACAGAAAAGTGAAAGGCAACATTGTGTTTACTGATTATCATGATAAATCATTGACGTCCCTAGTCAGCGCCGACTCTGTGCTATGATGTTTCTGAAAGCCAAAGTCATGCTTGTTGTCCATGCTTAAGAAAGAACACAGCTGTTGGGCCAGAACTTTCTTCAAAATCTTATAAAGGAAGAGGAGGGATGGAAATATGATGATAGTTTGAGAAATCAGTGGGATCAAAGGATTAAGTAATGACTTGCCAACAGCTTTCTCAAAGAATTTAGGGACATGGCCGAGGTTGAGTGATGAGTTAATCATATTTAGTAAAGGCACGCTAATCACTGGTAGTAATTATTGAAGTAATCTAGAGTGTAGTGGTTCATCTAGAGGACAACATCAAGTTATCAAGACTAATAGAACTAAAGTCATCAAAGCGTTCTTGGGACATATGACCTCTAAATCGGCTATCATCTGAATCTTTTGTGGCATAAGGAGGATTGATAGTGGTCTGCTGCTTGCCCCTCTGTTTTTTATTTTGTTTCTGTAGAAGCTTGTAGACTCACTGTTAGTAAGGGCTGTGGGAATCTGAGAAGTGCTAAAGCCCCAGTCATTTGTTAGTTTAGACACATTTTGTATTGGAATCTACTGTTGTTCTTATTGTTTCATATATGGTTAGAAAAAATATGATCCAATGGTAACAAGAGCCTGATAGTTGTTGGTTAGGAATTCTTTTCATACTATCTTGAAAACCTCCAGCTTGTTTTTTTTGTCCACACTTTTGAGAGATTAGTTTGAGGGTGTGAAGTTGTTTAATGTACCAGGGGACATCTCTATTAATAGTCCTTTTCCTAATACGTAAAGGAGCTACACTGTTAAAGGAAGACCTTAAAGTCACTTGTATGAGTGTCTAATTTTAGGAGGGGCTATTGGAATCTCTGAATCAAATTACTGAAGATTATGGCAGATCATTATTGTTTTATTATTTGCATGTGGGCTGTACCCATTGCCTTAAGTATTGGTGAGCTGGCATAACTCCCTCAGGTTCTGAATGCAATTTGGGTTGTTTTTTTGCTTGATTTAGAAAATTGAAAGAAGTTTTCTGTTGAAAATCATCATACACTCTAAATATTAGTACATGTTGTTCCCCCTAGTGACTTTTGGTTCTTTTAGCAAAGTCTGTTTTTTTAAATGATGCCCAAAAGTATCCAGACACCTACTTTCAATTCAACTACTTTCTGGTGCACCCATTGCTGACACAGGTGTTCAGTGGCACACACACAGCTTGTATAATCTCCTCAGAAAAGCACTGCTACTAGAATGCGATGCTGTAGAGCAGTTATACATGGAAGGGGTATAAAGCCCCCCAGCATTAGGCTGTATAGCCGTGGAATTGCATTGTTTGCAGTGATAGAGCTTTATACAGTGCCTTTGGGATGAGTTGGAGTTAATCACCCAACATACGTGACCTCACTAATTCTCTTATGGCTGAATGCAATCAAATCTTCACAGCAGTGTTCCAACATCTAGCATAAAGCCTTCCCAGAACAGTAAAGTGTTCTCCTGCTAAAGGGGGACAAACGCTTTATTAATACCTTTGACTTCAGAAGAAATGATGAATGAGAAGGTGTCTACAAACTTTGGTCTGAAGAACCTTCATAGTGTCCACATAATATACCAGATCTGTACCAAGTTCCATTTAGGAACCATTTATTTTTAAGAGTTTAGGACTTAATATGTGTCCCGAAATGTAGATCTGTGTCATATTCAGGATTTTTCCCAAACAGCGCATGTGAGGTGATGATAGCTTCTCTTTACAGTCACAGATTCTCCTCCTCGCCTGCTGTCTCTCTTCTCTGTCTCTTTGTGTGGCTTTGTCACAGCAGTCAGCACTTGGCTCCTGGAGGGCAGGCTAAATTTAGAGCATGTAAGGGCAGCGAAGAGCCTAATCAGTCTATGCTCAATTATACACACATACGCACACATGCACACAGACAGACTGTCCGCCCCTCCATCAGCACAAACTGCAGTGGAGTCAGGTTCCCATGTCCCGACATACTTTTAACTCCACCCTAACTGTTGTGTTATTATCATCATTACTGCTATGTACTGACATTACTGCTCACGTCCACCGCTTCAACCTAGAAAATATCGTGGCTTACATGGCATGATGATGACGACAGCGATAATAAGGAGGAAGATGCTTGCGATGCGTACAATGCTTCCATCATTGTAATCAGAATCAGCAGGGTAGTGCAATCACTTTTGGATAAAAAACTCTTTGAATTGCAGTGATCACCACACTGTATGATTCTTCTGCCACTAAAACAAAGAAAGTATTCTCACTGCATCGACCTAAAGTTAATTTGTGAAGACTTTTTTTAGTAAATTTTTCCCAGATATGTGAGCACATGGATTTTACTCCCAGGACAGCCTCAAGACACAAACTATAAGGAAAAAGAGGTTGAGGTTGATTGAGGTTGGTTGGCACGTTTCTGGATAACTAAATCGTTGATATGTAAATAAAGTTATTTAGAGTGATTTGATGTGAAATCGTTCATTGTAGAGAAACTTACAGACTCAGATTTCTTTACAGTGGTGATGATAGGAGGAACCAGGAGTCACAATGTCTACAACACAAATATAGCCATTTTACTTACTGTCCAACACCACCAGTGAAACTTTTAACACTAATATTGGTAAAATAGTGATAAATCTGAAAAAAAAATGTTTTCTTTGAGTGCTGTTTTGCCTTGTATCTTTCTGCCATAAATAGATTTAATAAGTTTAAAACAATATCTATC